TGAATGACATTGTTCTGTGGCAGTCAGTCCCAAGGAGAGCAGAGCCCTTTCAAGTAATTTGCATGCCTGGGTGAATTAAGACTGAGTAGTTCCTGCTTTCCCTTGAATCTGTGCTTCTGCTCATCAAATGGCAAGCAAAGAGTGATACAAAGGCATAGCGGAAGTCAAAGTCCTTCCCAGAGACAGGGCATGTATTTCTCTTGCACCCTGCTAGACAGGTTTGCTCCTGTCACATGTGCTCTCCTTTTTTTCACTGAAACCAACTCCTCTACAGGAAGAAATTCCCTCTTACATCAGTTCCTGCACCCCTGCAAGGGACAGAAGGGACCCAGCCTGCAGCAGATACCTGTGAGAAAATGCTGGTTCCTGAAGAGTTTCCCACAGGAAAGAGGAAGAAAGTTTCCCAACAGGAAGAGCTGTTGGGTCTTCAAAAGCTGTGAAGCTGGAGTGCTGAAATGCAGCCTCTGACCAGCAAGGTTTGATTCCTACTGTGGAAAGCCTTTTGCCCAAAAAATACTAAATTGGCAGGAGGTCATGCCACTGAAATGCATTTTGACCTTATTCAAATTAATTCATACTGTGTTGCTTGGTTTTCTATTATACTTATTCCTTGGCAATTTCATAAATGTCATGAAACTCACTTTATAGGGGAGTGGGATGAGCTGACTTAAACCAAAACAGAGATGGCTGCATTCCTGGATCAAAAGAATGATCATTTGCCTGTTGTATCCACTTGGTGTACCCTGTACTGCCAGCCTCCCTGACCAACAGTTAATTTACCTTTACACCCTCTAGTGCTCCATGGTCAACCAGGCCTGCTATCACCGTAATGCTGAGTACTGGTTCACAATAAACTACTCCCTTTTTGTTTCCAGCTTCCAGAAGCTACTTACTTGTAGGTTTCCAGAGTTTATGGAGCTGTCTTGTCCTCTGCTTTGTTAAGCTCCTTCATTTAAGACTACTGATCTCTAGGGAGAGTGGTGTTAGTAGACCCAGCTAAAGTCCCACCTGCAAGTGACTTTTCATCACAGGAAGGTAAGGAAAAGGGGCTGAACAGGGACCCACATCAGCACCAGAGGAAGTGGCTGCACTGTAGAACTGAGGACAGTACAATCTCTGGTGGAGCTGGCAAGTTTTTTTGACAAGTAAAGGTCACTCTCTCTCTTTTGTGGATTTCCTGAAATACAGAATATCCTCAGTTACATGAGCCAGGTGAAGCTGAAAGTCCTACATCAAACCCTAGCGGGAGCCATCTCCCACTGAAAGTCCCTTCTGTCCCTTGCAGGGGTGCAGAAACTGATGTAAGAGAGAATTTCTTCCTGCAGAGGACTTGGCTTCAGTGAAAGGAGGGAGACCACATGTGACAGGAGCAAACATTACATGATATGTGACAGTAGAGCCATGCAGGGGACTCAGTAATGAGATGATTTGGGTAGCACCATGGGAATGTCATACTGGTCAAAGTTTTTACTTTTTGACACTCTTGCTGATATGTTGGTCCATATGTCATTCATACTAGGGAGTTTACAAATTTCTGTGCTCTGTTTTTCTTCTCTAAACTGCCCAGCATGTCCCAATGTGCTGTGTGGCTGTGCATCCCACTCAGTACTCTTGTGGTGTCCCTCCTGTGCTGGTTACAGCTGCCTTTTCTGCCAGCTGGCCAAGTCTACCTCGGCCCAAGACAGAAGTGCCAAGTGGCTTAATGGGAGATGTTTTCAACCGGTGACACTTCTATCGTCAGCCCAGAAACAGAAAATGGAAGCTGGTGTGTTGTGCCATTAACACTTATCACCGGGAACCAACCACAAGGTAAATCACCTAGCTCACACTCCAAAAGGACTCAGTCTAAAAAAAAAAAAAAAAAAAAATGTTAAAGCTTTCCCACCCTGCCCCAGGATCCCATTGCAGAGCTCTTTGCTTTGCAGTTCATTTCATTGCAGACAGGATTTTCAGACAAAGATAGTCTACTTTGGCTCAGAGATCACCCCAAGAGAGCAGCTTTGTGGGGATGGGTTCTACAATCCTACCAGCTCCCAGTAAGACATGTTTTGGCAAGCAGCAGCAACCACAGTTCATAGGCACTTACTCATCCTCTCACCAGCCCAGCCCAGCAGTCTCTAATGGTGAGTCACTGTCCACCCCTGCAAGCCTGGAGATCCTGCATGAAGGGCTGTGGAAATATCTTACCTGTTCCTCATCCCACCAGAAATTCGTGACTGGCTTTCAACCAAGTCCACAGGCTTTCTCCATGGACGCATCATGTGCAGCCACGAGGGTTAGTGCTGTCTCAGGGAGAAAAACAGTGGAACCATACTGCTGGGCGAGGAGCATCACCAATGTCCAGGGCAGCCAAAACTGCTCCAAGCTCATACAAGGGTAGTGAACCCATGGGAATGAAACCCTAGAACAGGTAAAAAAGCGTCATTATACTGCTTTGGGAAAATAATTTGAAAAACATAGTTTTTCTCATTATTTCAGTAGGGTTTTTTAGTCTTCCTCACTTTCCCTCTCTCATGACACCAACCTGATAAAAACAGGAGACAAGATACATCTGAGAAAATTACCTCTGTGTCAAAGATGTTGATAACAGACAGATAAACAGCCATACAGCAGCAGCACCTAAGGCCTGGAAACAAAGGCTGCTGGTGCAAAACTGTTAGTTTAATTACAGGTTTTTTTAATAACTATTAATTTTACATAGTACTATGTGCACTTAGTAAAAGACAGTGATTGCCCACAATCTTCAGTTTAGTGTATTTATTGTTATTTATGAAGCCATTGAAGATGTCTTTGCATTCATGGATCTGAGTCTTGCACAATTCATTGAAATGCCTGGCATCACTGCCATAAAATACACACACTGATGGTAATAAAATCCAGCCATGCAGTACAGTAAAAATCCCCACAAAAAAATACAATAAAATGGACATATGAATCTTGATAAAATCTATGTACCACTATGCTGCACATTCACATGAATTAGAGGTGTGTGGTGATCCTGGATGAAGCCTTACGTAAAAGCACATGTCTACAGAGGCAACATAAAATGCGAAGGGGGAATACAATGCAGCCCTGTCTCTCTGATTATGCACAACTGTAACTCTTCATCGAGGACTCCTCCTTGGCAGTGTAAAAGGTTCTCCAGTTCAGCAAACCCCTCCTAGCAAGTGTGCTCCAGCCTCAGAAAGGTCATGAGAAGCTGGGCATGCAACATTGGGATGCTGATAATGCCCATCATCCTCTCAGTATGATCTTCACTTCCATCCTGTCTGTTGCCTTCACTATCATACTAAAAAAGAAATCTGCACATTCTAAGAAACATTTCTGATCTCCCATCTCACTGACAAACTGAGATTAACTCAGTTGGTTAAAACACGGTGGTAATAATGCCAAGGTCATGGGTTTGGTTCCTGTAGAAGCCATTCACTTAAGCATTGGACTCAATGATCCTTGTGGATCCCTACTGGGCCCCTTACTACTCAGAATATTCTGTGACTCTGTAATACAGTCCATAAACTGGAGTAGCAGAGAGGAAAGTGGAGATGTCTCAAAAAATACTTGGAGTAAAGATTTCTGTAGTGGTCACTTGAGTAAAACAGCCCAGAGCTCTTATGGGAGTCAATACTACCCACCTTCCTATATCACTAGAAAGTTACCGTATCATAATGGTGGGATCCATGATGATCTAGAAAGCCTTTGAGGCATCACAGCAAAGCACTCATTGCAGCATTAATTTTTCATGAATTACGAGACTAGAGGGCAGAGAACAGGCATATGGGGACCTCAGTGCATCAGCACAGTCTAGGAGCCCCGATTCCCTTCATATTGGCCAACCAAAAGCTAATTCTGAACAGCAGTGTGCAAATTCCTTACCATAACCATAGCATTTCATCCCCCAGTTTGTTAGCTCAGTCTGCAAGAGCTCAGAGCTCTTGCAGGTAAGACTTCCTCAGGAGATTTTTTGTCACTAGGCTTTGAAGTGAGCTCTGAACAGCCTTGCAGAAAATAACTTTTAATATGCTGAAGTCTAGATTCTGCTTTTGCTCACTTCAGATGTGTAACAACTCCTTAATGACTGCTCGATGCTGCATGGGTGACCAGGACCGTGGGTGTCCACTGCCAGGAAAGACCTTGGAGAATAAGAGAATTACCTACCAGGCACTGTCTCATAGCAGCAGGAAAAATACCACAACACGCTCCATGGAGTACCACATCAGGAAATGGAACACAGATTACTTTGAAGCCTCACCCTGGTTCTATGGCATCAAGGATTTGAGACAGGGACAGACCATTGCAGATTAGTGTCCTGGTTTCTTAGTTCCACTGGTGCATGTTTGCTTTGATGCAGATACACCAAACCTGTACCAAGCACTCAGGTACAGATATGCTACAGATGGATGATGAAGGGGAAAGAACAGATAACCACTTCTACAGCTGTATTAAGGTGAGAAACTGTTTGTGGGTACCTAAGATGATCAGAGGGTTGAAGCACCTCTCCTGAGAGGAGCACCAGGGGAAGTGGCTAAGAGAATTGGGATTGTTCAGCCTGGAGAACTGAAAGATTCAGGATGACCTAATTGTGGCCTTCTAGTGCCTCAAGGGAGCATACAAGAAAGAAGGAAAGAAACTCTTTACAAGGACAGGTAGTGGCAGGATGAGGGGGAATGGATTCAAACTGAAAGAGAGTGCATTGAGATCAGATACTAGGAAGAAATTCTTTATTGTGAGGGTGATGAGACACTGGAACAAGTTGCCCAGAGAAGTTGTGGATGTCCCATCCCTGGAGGTGTCCCAGGTCAGGTTGGATGGAGCTTTGAGCAACCTGTTCTAATGAAAGATGTCCATGCTATGAGAGGGGAATTGGAACTAGATGGTCTTTAAGGTTCCTTCCAACCCAAACCATTCTATTCTATGATTCTATGATTCTATGTACAGAGAGTGATGTGGGTAATGAGAGTGAAAGCAGTGGAACAAAATCTGAAGACTGACACTGAAAAACAACAAAAAGATGAACACAGAGAATCTCCCAGCAGGAAGATTCATGAGAATTTAGGAAAGCTTCCCATGATCTAAGTAAGCAGCAATGGTTGGATCATTTAGAATCAGGTGTGCCAAGCCTTAGCAAAGTGCAGAGAACTGGATGATTTTGGGGTGAGTTTTCTTTTGCCAGCTGAGGGCAAATAAGCTGGTCAGTGCACTTTACTTTATCCCAGCTCAGCTGTGAGGCACATCTGCACAGCAGCGTGGAGCTGTGAGTGGTGCACTAGTGTGAGAGAAGAAACAACCCAGTGCCCATTAACCCAGGCAGTCAGTCCTTCACCAGCATTTGTGCCATTTTAATGTTTCCATTGTTGCTGCACAAACTGGCTGGGAAGCTAAAATGTCCATGTCTGCTCCCACTATCTTCACACCATTGTTTGTTGCACTGTCTCACCCCCTTCCCAGGCTCTCACACAAAAACTGGCCAGGCCCAGGCTGGCCCTGTGCTCACACCATCATTTCTTCTCACTGCTCAAATATAGATATAGAAAGAAAACTTTATTTCTCTGAAACCACAGTCGCAGAGTTACCGAGAAGAGATGCAGAGAAGCAATAGAGATGCATGCTGATGGTCTGCTGAATTTGTCCACGCCTTCATATTTCACTGGGAAAGGGCAATGCAGGCCAATGGCATGGCTCTCTGTCCCACTTTCTCCTTGTGTAAAACAGAAATAATGATACTGACCTAGTTCACCGGGGAGCCTGGAAAGGCCAGTTAATGTTTCTAAGGCTCTTTGAAAATAAAAAGGTCTGTGTCAGTGCTAAGTGTTATTATTCATGTATTGTAATTCTAACCTATAAGGGATTTGGCTTTAGTAGGAAAATTTCAGTTACTCCAGCAGCTGAAGAAGGGGTTTCATATTTCATCTTTAGCTATATACAGATTAACAGCACACACACAATTTCTTCACAGGCATAAAGATAAAGGTGAAATCCACACTAATGTTAGGCATTACGGTGCTTTGTCTTGGCATGAAGGAACTCTGATTTCCAACATCTGTGAAAGGTTAGCTGAAGTGATGTATAAAGACTTGGTACTAGCTAACAAAATCAAGTGTTTGTGAAATTTATTATGAAATCTGCAATTTTCCACAGACTTTAGCATGAGGTAGAATGGTGTCCAAACCAGAAAGGTGAAAGGTTAGAATTTTACTATGCAACATATAAATATATAGAAGGTACAGAGTGGTTTCGCAGAGGTCTTTTCACTTAGAACTTACTCAGGTCTTTCCAAAAACATCAGTGACACAGTGTGGCATGTGTAATTCTAAATACCATAAAAATATCAAACAGGGCTTTTATAAAATATCATGCATTTCTGACATATATTGTTGTTCTGCTAGTGACTTATATTCTACACATTTCCATCATCACCGCTTCTCCTGTTTGGATTATCCTGACCTCCCAGAGGAGATGACTGCATATTGGAATCTTGCACCAGGTAACAGTGAGAAAAAAGGATGGTGCTCGCATTCAACCGAAATACCACCTTCCCAGCAAGAGGCAGGATTATTACTTTATTAAATCACACGGGGAACAATGGTATATCCCCCTTGAACGAAACCCAAATGTTTTCGCATTCACAAAATTACTTCGATGTGTTACACATGATGCCCTGCAAGATGGTGACAGTTTGCCCTCATTTTACTTCTCTGATTTTTTATTAGAAACATTCTATTTCAATTTACATTCCCAAATAATAGTCGGGGAACATATTGCTATTTCTTGTGCATGCAAGGGAGAGGGCACGTGATCAGTTGTTCAGGACACAGGCAGAAATGTTTTTTTCCTCACAAAGGTCTCCCTCTCTCCCCATCTCTCAGTTTTTGGTAGACAACAGCTGCTGGAATATGAACAATGTAAGCTAGAGCTGCGGAAATTCTTCCGTATTTCCATATATTACATTTAATGTCATAACAATAAGAAGAGCAAAGAAAGTGTAAATCTTGATTGTAGAAAGCCATATTTTGCATGTTCCCTCCTGTTTCTTTTGGTAATAGAAAATCAATGGACCTTTTATATATGCGACACATCCCAAGCACTGAAGCTCCCATCCTCCCTTCATGTATGAATAAATGAATTTGTTTACTGTGCTGTCTGAACAAGTGTGTTTCAAAACAATGACAGATTCCAGTGTGTTATCTCCAGCACTTCTTTGCAGCACAGCCTTTCTGTCTTCCACGTTTCCGACAATGAGCAACCCATAACATTTCCTACACAAGCTCTTCACACCCCACCTCGTGACTGAAGGGGGGAGTGCAGCACACATAAAAATCTCGCCCAACACAGCACCATTTAACTTCTGGTTGAAATACTGGAATATTTTTCATCCCTTCTCTCATTTTCCAGATAGGAGTTTTCTTTTCCCCAGGTTTCGTACAGCTTCTCTAGCTGCTTACCACTGCCCAGTCACATGCTTTTTCATGGCTTTTGGCATAACCGTCCATACTTTGAGGTGATATTTCAGAGGTTATTCTGATTTTTTGTTTTTAAATGAAGAGCTGTTACAAGGAATTGGTATTTTCTATTAGGCTTGGTTGTTAAATTTCTCACTAGTTTTAGTATTTAAGAATTCAGTACACTACCAACAAATACATTAAATTTTTGCTGAAAATTATTATGCTTTGTATGGCTTTTTCCTATACCCTGGAACTATTTACATTATGAGTCATTGATTATTTATGGAGATATTCATGGTGCTTTTCTTGGACATGTCATGTAAAGAAATCAGTAGGCTGGAGGAAAAGAACAATGGGAAGCTCTAGGGAGTGGACTTTTAGGTGTGTTTTTACATTTTAAAAAGCCTTCAGCACCATCAAAAATAACTATTAATAGTTAGCATTTTTCTATTGGCCTTAGAGAATCTCATATGGAGACAGGCTTCCAGGAAGCAAGTGTAATGTTAACACTACATATTGTGCTATGATGTCCATTGCACAGACAGGTTGGATCAAAGTTGGAGAAACTATAGGCTTGACTCTACAGCTGGTAGGAATTTTGACTCTGCTGATGCCTTTCAAAAATTATGGGGAATTTTGATTGCGGAGCCAGTATCAAAACTCTGATTTCCTGACTTTTGACTTCATTTTAGAGGTTTCAGAGTGCTGATGGTCCCACAAGGACTGCCTGTCCCCCGCTGCACTTGAGAATATAGGGGGCTTCCCTCATGCATCTGGACAGAGAGGACACTCTGCATTCTGAGCTAGGTCTCAGTTTCAACAGACAGGACCTTCAAATCGCTTTCCATTTTTTGTTTGATTTGCATTTTATTTCTAATGTGGTGGTTTCACACACTGTGTGCAGGAGAGAGGGAGAGAGGGAATGGCATGCTACCCAGGGACAGAAGAGTCCACCTGCTTAAAAGGGGAATGTTGCTGGATAAACACAAATTGGTGTAAGCCACATCATTAGGAGAAAGTTGTCTATCATTAAGCTCTACGTAGTGCATCCCTCTGAGCCTAAAGTAAGTCTCCAGGGGATATACAATCATACTTGCCACACGAGTGGAAATGCTGAAGATGAGCCACTGCACCATCTGGGTGTCCACCTCCCACCTGTGTTAGCATCATTATATGCATGTTGGGCTGACTTAGCACACTGAGGAGGAAGATGGCCATGCCATTCTCTTTTACCATCTGGGTAATTTACTCTGTGAATTTTCTAGAGAGGGGATTCATTAATGCAGATATGCAGGGTGCAATTATTCAGATGATGCAGTGGGAGGAAGCTGCATAAAATTTACAGAGTGAGCTGTGCTTGTACCCTGGGCAGTGCTTTTTTGGGTGGTCCAACCTGCAAAAAATTCACACAGAGGAATTCCTTGATGACTTCTCACTGTGTCCCAAATGGCAACTCCTCCCGATCGACATCAGTGGGAGCTGTTCTCACTAGGCAAGGCAGATATTAGAAGACTCTCAGCATCCGTCACAACAGAGAGGAAATCTGTGGGAAATGCTGATCATTTATATCAAAATTAATGAGATTTTCCCCTCTCTGAAAGTGAGGGCTGAGATGTATACTGACTACAGGGAAAAAGAATCCATCCATGGATATCTAGCTTGCCTTTTTTATTTATATTTTTCCAGGGGTCTTGTATAATTGATGACAGTGTCTATTTGGCAAAGGAATTTTCTGAGCATGAAATTCATTTTAATAGTAATTTTTGCCTTTTAAACAAACTGTTGTTTTTTCCCTTCTACATCTGAAGCCAAAATCACAGGACCACAAAACAAATCAGCTTAATTTCACTGTGAACTTTTCTTTTGACATCCTTCTATTTTTCAAAGAGAATAAATGTGTTGTTACATGTCTGCTCTTTTCCAGACAGAAGAGGCAGAGAGCTATTTTTGAAGCTCCTTAAATCAGAAGCTCTGGCTCTTTACAAAAGCATCCCCACAGGATATCAGGACTGTGTTTGGAAACATATGTGATAAAAAAAAATCAAACCATAAAAATGAACTGGGATCACCTTGTAATTGGGTAGAGAAGACTTCCTGCTGCTGTCTGTATTTTTGTTAAAAGCCAGTGCTTCTGCATTTCTCACCTTTTGCTGTGCGAGATTGTACACAAAATCTCTGATTGCCAAGCAAATCAAAGCCAAGAAGGAGACCCCCTGTTTGGAGGAAACCATCCCCCTCCTATATTCTCTCTTACCAATATTATGTAGGGAAAATTAGATGTACAGAATGAATCAAAAGTCCCTGGAAAAAAAATTAAATAAAAACACCACCACTGGAACAGAGCTATACGGAGGACCCGGAGGAGATCTTAGAATGCATCAGCTTCCATATAGAGTGGTAAGCTAATAGGCAGTTCATTGAAGCTAAAGTATAACATAAACCATAAAATTACAGAGAAAATGGCTGAAAATATAATAAAAAATAATTAAAAATCTTGTAGAAAGGTGGCATATCAGCATCTCATGTAAATACAGACATAGAAAGTGCAGTTCATCATTTGAATGGATGAAACAGTTGAAAACAATAACAAAATTTGTTAGTTTGTAGTCTATTTTTCCAAAACTTTGAGAAAACCCCAGTGGTTCCAGCAACAGCTTCCCATTTTCTTCCGTCAGTAGGTGATTTCTCTGTTTTGCTCAGCTGCTAGAATTCCTATGGAAAAAAACACCTACCATAAAATTGTTTGAAACCATAACATTAAATTAAAAAAAAAAAAAAAAAAAAAAAAAAAAAAAAAAAAAAAAAAAAAAAAAAAAAAAAAAAAAAAAAAAAAAAAAAAAAAAAAAAAAAAAAAAAAAAAAAAAAAAAAAAAAAAAAAAAAAGGAAGAAAATTCAGTCATTTTCCTGATCCTTGAATGTTAAACATGCTACGGAAAGACACAAGTCTCTCCACCAGTCAGGCATTGCATGAACTTTCTAATAGAAACCAGACTCCTATTTTCTTTTGTCCAGTGCTTTCTACTCTTTGATGAAATGAAATTTCAACATTGTTGAAGACCTATGGCAAAACTGTTTTTTCCATGATGATGTAAGACAAACTGGACAAGGCACTGAGAGAATACAGAAGCTAAAAATAGGCAGCATTCTCCCTTCCCTGGAACTTTTTCTCTTAGTATCTGCAGCCAGACATATTTAAAACTCAGCATCTCCCAGTGATGTGGATGTTATAGTAATAATACATATTTTACTTTCATGAACTGGCACTGGGAAGTAGCTCATTGAGAGCAAACTGGCAACATTCACTCTCCAAACTTTTGAGGATGAAGTGTCTTTCTTCTTGCTAGACAAGAACCTGATTCCTAGACACAAGGTCAATACCAAAAATAGTCTTATATTTTTAAGAGTGACTTCATATATGAGAGTGTATCTTTGAGTTCAGACAATATATGAGAATGTATTTGTTTATGTGTGCATAGTAAATATCTGTATTTTGAGTCGATGTTTATGTTGTTTACCTGTGCAAAAATGTATACATATCTGTATACACACGTATTATGTGTATGCATGTTGAGAAGAATGCCGACTCCTGAATCCTTCTCCTCAGCACACATCAATAGAGTTCCTGGACCAGGAGCAAACATTTTCTGTGTTTGCCTTTCCAAGACTTATGGCAAGGTTATGTCCCCTCTTTTCTCTCCATCATCCAGCAGCATGCTATATACATAGTAAGCACAACAGAGGGCATTGGCTCACTCCTTGTTGTAGCCAGCAATTTTTGCATGTACACTTAGGTGGTTTTGTAAATACAGAGGATGTAGTATAGGCAAAGCTTTGACACTGTGGCTTTTCAAGTATAAAAAAAAAAAAAAGTGTTTCTTTTGTACACAGAGATACACCCAAACATTCATGTTGTAATAGTGTCTATACTCACAACAAGGATTGGGAATCTATGGTTTAAAATAAGGTACAGGCTTAGATATAGGTGAGGTAGAGCTGAATACAGTTGACATTATGAAGTCTACATTATGAAGGGCTTGAAATCCAAGAGAGCTACTTTATAGTGCAATTTACATATTTTAAAAATAGCTTATTTAATAGCTGATAAAAGCAGGGGTCAGCTTCCTCTGAAAAGCAAGAGATGCACAGCTTTAAATACCTGTAGTTATTCAGAGAACATGGGTGATTAAATTCTAGCAACTCTGCAATTTCAATGTAATTGGAAGTAAAGGATAAATAAAAAATATGTCATTTGCTCTGAAGTTATTTTGCATATTTTACTTCTTTCTGTATCTCTCCTCTTTCATTTTGTGTTCTTTACCTACCAAACTACCTACATATGTATTATACCTATTTATCCACAAATACACACACACACACACACACACACACACATATGTAGACTGGTTCTTTATATGGTATTCAAATACACATGTCTAATGGCTTATCTTTCTACCTTTATAATAATTTTCCCAAGAATGTTTGGCAAGACAAACAGGAATTCAAGTGAAAAATATCAGGAAAATTTTTATTTAGTGGCTTTGACTTCCTATCTTGTTTAAATGTTTGTATAATTTCAGTTTCTGCAAAGTCCTAAAAGGAAGTAAAAACCTGCTGGCCAAAAGAGGAAAGAAAGTCAGAGGAATTCATATAATCAGAAAACATTATCTAAGTGGAAAGGAAAAATGATTCAGTTTTAATTGATAGATACCATAAAGCAATGATTTCTATCTCTTCACTTAAAAAAGATTTTTAAAAATTTAATCCTAATAGAGTTTTCAGTCATTAGCAGAGGCTTCCAAAATCTCAAGAGGGAAAGTGAATGAAGGTATTAAACACAAAAGCTTATCTTGGGGACTCTAGTTCTGCCTCAAGCTGCTCACATTATGTACTATCCTACCTTTTTGAGAAAGGGACCAGCAAAGTCGAAGTATTTCTGTGCAGTAGTGGAAATCAAATTCCTCAAGACACTGAACACAAAACATTGCAAAAACAGACCAAAAACTAGAAAGCTCTTACTCATGTTCATGGCTGCCTGTATGTTTCTCTCTTTTTCACTCCCTCCCCAAATCCAAATTCTCTGGCTCTGTGACCTGTAATGCTTCTCAGTCAGGTTGAAGTTTTTGTCACACCAAATTGTGAAAATACATTTGTAGGAATGACATATACCTTTTAGAATGAGTATGGCAGTTGCTCTTTTCCTTGAGTACAATCGTAATTATTATAGAATCATAGAGTCATAGAATCATAGAATGGTTTGGGTTGGAAAGAACCTTAATGATCGGGTAGTTCCAACCCCTCCTTCCTAGGCAGGGACACCTTTCACTAGACCAGGTTGCTCAGAGCCCCATCCAACCCAGCTCTGAACACCTCCAGGGATGGGGCATCCACAACTTCCCTGGGCAAATTGTTCCAGTGCCTCACCACCCTCACAGTAAAGATTATTCCCCAAGGAAGATGAATAATTAATACAGGATGATTTTATTAATGGATATGTGAAAAAAAAATATGAGGGGAAAAAATAAAAATATGAGAAAAAAAATAATTGGCTTTCACAAAGGAAGTTATGTCCCTGGGTGGAGTTCCAAGGACATGCTGCTGAGACCCTGTATTGCATCATATTCATAAAACAGAGAGTGAAAATTGATATGATGCCATTCACTGATGTTCTAATGTTATGTTCAGGGGTAAAACCCAAACTTGCCTGCACTGAGATACAGAAAAGCTTCATGACACTGATCATGGAGCAACTAGGTAATAGCAGGGCAGGAGGAATGCTAATAAATGCAAAATAACATATTTAGAAAAGAAATACACTAAGTTTACAAGAAAGATGCTAGGATCAAAATTAGCTGTTGGTATTTTCAAGAAGATGTCTTACAGACAGTGTGATTTAATTATTGAAACATTTAGCTGTGGCAGAAAAAGGGAAAAATGTGAATTTTAGGTATTACTAGAAAATTAATAGAAAGACAATGGTAAATATCATCATGAGAGTGCATATGCTTTTCTGTCCTTCTATCTCAAAAGATACTTAATCAAATCATAAAAATGTCAAAAAAGGTAAAAAAGGTGATCAAAGATGTGGAACATCTCTAAAATGTGGGAAGGATTAAATAGAGTTGGATTTCTCAGCCTGGAAAAGAGATGATCAAGGAGGGATAAGGCAGCAGGTTATAAAAACACAGAGAAGGCAAACTGGGAAAATGGAGGTTACTGATCATTACTTCCCAAAATGAAAGAAAAAAGGTTTGTCAAATGAAAACTTTGGGCACTAAGCATAAAATAAACAAAACTGAGAAACTCAGAGTCATGGGATCTCAAGGCCAAAAGCATATGTAGGTCTCAAACATAATAGGATAAACTCACAGAAGAAACATCTGTGGAAGGTTATACAGGACAAAACCACAGGTTCCCAGATTGGAGAGTTTTTAAACCAGAATCTGTAACTGAATCTTGTTTTTATCAATGAAGCTAAAGCCTTAGCCTGAAGTTCTTGTGCTACTTCTAAAACCAAATATCTTCACGTAGAGAATTTTGTTTTTAAGGGGATTTAGTCAAGAGACTTAGCTTGAGGGGGAAGTTCTAGACTAGCAGACGAAGGGTTTGTGCCCCACTTCAGTGCAAGAGAGCAAAGTGACTGACATACCTAAGAGTTGTATCTAGGGGGCTACTGTCATCTACACACACAGCAGGCAAGTGTCCATGTGACTGTGAAGAGCAGTAGTGTATTAGTGGACAGCTCTTTCCACCATGGTATTTTATTTGCTCTCTGAACTCTGCCTTGGATAGAAATTCCCAACTGTGTGTACTGGAATGATGTGCTCTGCTTCTGATGGCACTGCTCCTTGCAGGACAAGCTCAGATTCTAAATGCTAGATCCAAATTTTCAGTAGAGAATGGGAACAGAGCAAATCTGAAATTCTTGTGTTGTTTACAGACCCTTCTCTGCTGCTTGGTGTCACATACGCTGGTCACAGCCGCTCTTAGCAAGGAACGTTTTCTATGGAGAA